CCGGCCCTGTTTGTCGACAAGTAAGTGTGGCGCCTCCTCACCCACCCCCGCACCCACCCTGTGCCCGACCCTGCGTCCGTGTGACGTCACATCTTGCCTGGCTTCCTTTGGTTGCGGGCCACCTCTCCCTGAACCAGCATTTCAGGCAGGGGTTCTGAACCTGCTGCCCGCGGTTAATATTTGGCTGGGAGAAGGGCCTGTGACCTCCATCCCCCCTTTAAAGTTATAGACACATTTGGGTGTGAATGCATTTCTGGGGACCGGCTCCATAGCTTCCATTAGATTCTCAAAGGAGCGCGTAGCCCACAGACTTAACCTCACTGGCTCTCGGGCAGTGCTCGTGCTCTGGTCTCTCCTTTTCAGGTTGCTGCAGACTTGATTTCCAAAGCTTCTTCCTCCGCTCTTAGGAGTATTATTAGTGTGAGTCCGGTTCCTTGGATTCTGAAACACAGCTGTACCAGCACGGACCAAGGATAGCCTGCCTTAGAGGCAGCAACGGTGAATCGCATGGCAGAGCTCACATGGCCTGAGGCCGCACTACATTAAAGTCTAGTCCAGAAGAAGGAAGCACGCATCTCTCCCCCTCTCTTGGTTAGGACTCCCCGCCCTGCCCCCCCTGCAGAGTGTCGTGTTCCCCTGGGACCCTGCATTTAAGAGGGCTGTGGACTGAGGGGAGCAACCTGAATACGGACAGGCCCAGAAGCCACGCTGTACGAGGCCTCACAGGAATTATGGGAGGGCTGGGGAGAGATGACAGTTGGCTTCGATCATAGGGCGTGTCATGTGGAAGAAGGATTAGCCTAGTGAGAACCGGGGTTGATGTGTTATAGGGAAATACCTAGGTTTTGGTCCTGTGTAAGGAGATCATGGGAGCTGGACACAGCCGGGACTGGGGGCTGGCTCAGGATGCAGCGATGTCCTCAGCAGAGGCCGAAGGGTCCGGCAGCCTGGGGACGTTACACCAGTAGTTCCAGCATCCTGCCCTGAGAGTCTCATACTTGGCAGGACCTGAATGAGGAGCACGCTCCCCACCCACTGCGTGCCCTCTTGATCTGCCCCACTCTGTTTACTCCTGTGGGAGTTCTGGACACAGCACGACTCCTCCATCCCCATCCCCTACCCGCTGAGGACACACACACCAGGAACTTAGCTGCATGAGCGCAAGCCACACTCTGCTTAGCCCAGATGCATCGTGTGTTTTTGTAAACCCTGACCTCAGGCTTCCTATAGTTCTGCACTTTCCTAATTTCTTTCCAGGCCAACCGAAGGGGAGAGGACTGAGCGCCTCATCAAAGCCAAACTCCGGAGCATCATGATGAGCCAGGACCTAGAAAACGTGACCTCCAAAGAAGTAAGAGCACTCTCCCCTTCTTAGCAGAGGTCATGTGGCGTTCCTTTGACCTGTTGCCCAAAGCACGGTGGAGGCAGGCCCAGTACCCGGTCCTCTTTACCCATCTTGACCCACCAGCTCTTGGAGCTGCAGGACTCAGCATAGCGGAAAGAGCACAGACCTTAGAGTCAGACTCTAGTTTGAATCCAGCCTTGCTGCATAACAGCTGTAAGGTTTGGGGCAAATTCCCTGACGTCTCTAAACCTGTAAGACCTTTGGTCAGAATTCCACAAGACCCGCGATTGCACCAAGAAGCACTTACCTGTTAGCACCCTCCCCTCTGCCCTATATCACCTTGTGTTTCATTTGACATAGGGCAAACTCTTATTTCTTAAGTTGTGTAAGGATCACAACTTAAACCAGCAAGTTGCTAACCCTAGACCGCCTACCATCTGCCTTTTGACGTTTCCCTGGAACACTTTTTTTCTTTTTTCAGTTGCTTTTTGCCTAAGGAATGCAATGAATTGTAACAACTTAAATTAGCTAAATCTAAGCGGTGAAATGGCCATTTAAAAAAGCCATATACCTTTTTAAAATTAATACACGTAAAAATCATATTGTGATAAAGGTTTTCACTATGATGAGTTTGGTATTTGATTGTAAAGGTCTAAGTGCCTTCAACTTAGTAGAAAGAAAAGATCCCATGGGAATCAGACTCTTTATTTGAAATAATAAACTTGTCCCCATCAGATTTACTTTGAGGCTGAATAGCCTGTGCTCCCGCCACCCATGCATGTGCACCGTGTGTTTTAATGCAAAAAACATCTTTTTTGAAAACAGCCACAGTTCACGCTGTGACTTTACTTCTTTGGAGAGAGACAACTGTTTTCTTTAACAAATCACTTTTCCTAATATTTTCCACTCCACAGATCCGTAATGAATTGGAGAAACAGATGAACTGTAACTTGAAAGAATTCAAGGAATTCATAGACAACGAGATGCTACTTATCTTGGGACAGATGGACAAGCCCTCCCTCATCTTCGATCATCTTTATCTCGTAAGGGGCTCAGCACATGGGAGGTTCTGTCTTGGGGAACATAAATCAGACCTTGATTGTTTGAGCAAGTCAGAGAGGGGAACTACTTGAGTCACTGGTGCCTCGATTTTGACTTTGACGGGAACGCCCCTCTAGGACTCCCTCCTCTGGCCTGTAGGCTAGTGGTTTGCTCTCCAGCCATATGCTTGTGATGTGCCTCCCAGCTGGGCCGCAGTGAGTTGTTTGAAAGCTCTTTGGCATAGTCAACTGGCAACTGTTTTCAGACTCTTGCCACCCTTTGCCTTCCTCACTAACTCACATACAGGCCCCCTCCAGTTACTTCCAAATGGTTTGCGGGCTGAAAAGCCCCAGTTCCTAAACAGAGCATGCTCGCCAAACCCCAGAATTATGCCTCGGCTTCCCGAGACGTAAGAAACAGTAAGGAAGGCAGATCAGACACCAGTAACACTGCTTCCCCTCTGCTTGTCCCGGCAGCCACTCCGTGCCCTGCTCTCAGAGCCTGTTGAAGGGACAGGCCCATGTGAGCGATGTAGCTGTGGTGGGTGGTATGCGGACACCTCACCTCCCATCTCTTGCTCACATTTTCTTAAAGCTGTAAATCTCCATAGAAGGCAACTGGCAAGTTTTCAAAGTCACAGAGACTGTAGAGGAAGGCACGTTACTAAAATTAGAGAAGGCAGCACAGCGTAGTCATGAAAATCAGCCCCACCAGGCCAAGTTCTCACTCCCCAGCCAGAACAGCAATGTGACTGGAAGCAAGTGTCTCTGCCTCATTTCGCCTTCATCTTACACGTTATGAGATGATTTATGAGGGTTCAATACAATACAGCTTTAAGACACCAGGTGCAGTTTCTGTGGGCACTAATAAATGGTAACCATCATTAGAGCAGAAATCGCTTCCTGGGAAAGTTGAGGAAGTGTATTTGCTGTGGAAGGCATGAACGATTTTGTTCTCTGCCTGTAGGAGGTAGTTAATAGTTCTACAAATGCATGCGAGATGTGATCAGACAATATGGTGAATGTTTAAATTAAAAAAAATTATTACAGTAAAAGACACTTTGCCATTAATCCCCCTCAAAATACTCCCTTTCACTTTGAACACACTTATCCCATCGTTCTTTTATGTATATGTTAAGATGTATATACATATGTGTGTGTTTGAAGCCTGTGTCTTGAAAGCTATGGGGCAGCGCTGGGCTCTAATCCCTTGGGAAGTTGATGTTTTTCCCTGGTGGAGACTCCGGAAGGCACCTCTAGCCCTTCGCCCCACTAGGTGGCGATCACAACAAGAAAGGGGACTCACAGCCTTAGTGAGCGTTAGTTATTTTTCGGTGTGGTTGGTACTTTTGTCACTTTTTCCATGAGAGATACTAAAGGAATTTTTATGTTTGAACGTCTCCTTCCAATATGAAAATCCAGCTAGCACCCGCACGTGGCCAGCCCCATAAAGGTCTGGAAAGCCCCTGCCTCCTGAGGGGTCTGTCCACTTGGAAAAGGACGTTTATAGGGAGACTAAGCTTGTTCTTTTAGTTACTCTTTGTGACTTTATATTGTTTCATAAGAGCAAAGGGATGGATTTTTTCTTTTTTCCCATTCATGTTCTTTGCATGCTCAGAAATGGAGAGGGGTTTTAAAATACCATTTTAAAAGTATTAAATTAAAACATGTTATAGAAAGTTAGGAAATATAAGAAAATCTAAAGAAGGAAATTAGAAGTATTTCCAATGTCACAAATCTAAAAGTAGTCACTATTAACATCCCAGTATATTTATTTTTCTATCTTCTTTTTTTTTAAATGCATGTGTAGCTTTTTAAAAAAGGAAAAGAAAAGAACCATTCTGTTTATGTTTACATAGTTTTGTATCCTGCTTTAAAAATTTTTTTTTCATTATGTATTTCCCTGTGTCATTAAATATCCTCCAAAAGTATGCGTTATTTCAATGGCTCCATTGTATGGATCGATCATCATTTATTTTCTTCTTGTTGGACCTTTGGGTTGTTTCCACTGTTTTGTTATTATAAATAACCATAAATATCCTTGTACATAAATCTCTGCAAATTCTGGGTATTTCCTCAGGGTAGCTTTTTGTATGTAAGTGGAATTTCCGGGTTAGAGGGTGGGAACTTTTTTAATATTGCCAAAATACTTCCCAGAAAAGGTAAGCCGATTCCTGCTTTAATTAGTGGTATGTGAAAGTGCCCTTTCCTGAGTGGGAGGTCAGAGGTCACTGCCTCTGGCGAGAGGACCCTGCTGGAGCCTCAGAAAAGGAAGTGATGATAGGGGAGCAGGTTTTCCTGAACATGTCCTTCCCCTGTTGTGCTGACGATGTTGTGAATGCCTCGGGAACCTGCTTTGATACTGGCCTCTTGTCAGTTCTCTCTGTTTTCTGAGGCCAGGGGCCCATGAAATCACCATCACCATCAGGCCTAGCGCACCCCCAGCTCTGAGGCTGACATGTGACACTCACGGGGGTTTGTGTGATCTGTCCCCCAGGGCTCTGAATGGAATGCGTCCAATCTGGAGGAACTGCAGGGCTCAGGGTGAGTCTGCTCCCCTTGTCTTCTCTTGTCCTTCTAGGCAGTTTAGAAACCCTCGGCTCTGCCACGGAGTTGGAGGTCAAGCCCTTGTGCTGCCCGTCTGTAATTGCCTGCACCCCAGCAGCCAGGCTGATTTGCATAGCTACACAGATGTACTTGAGAATGTTACCTCCTGAATATTCATGGATTTTAGACTTTCCTGGGTTTTAGACTTTCCTGGGTTTTAGATTTTCCTGGGTTTTGTGTGATGGTGAGTGTCTGGGAGAAGGATCCTAAATCATAGTCCAATGGTATAGACAGCTTGGATGCTGCTGGTAGGGCCCCAAGCCTTCGCCCACGGCCCCACTGCCCCATTGCTCGGCAGACCTGCTGCAAGTCCTTGTAAGGACACCTATCTGTTGGGCCAGTCAGCAACCCTGATCCCTGGACCACTCCTGGTTCTATCTGAGCTTAGGCCTTTGGGCCTGATGGGAATCTTGCAGCTAAATACTCAGTGTTGGCCGGAAACACATGCCTGTCTTAGTCTGAGAAATGCTCAGCAGCAAGAATAAAAAAATGTTTAAATCTAGACCTTCAAAAACAGATGTCTGGACATTTAAAAAAAAAACAAAAACACAGCCACAAAATCACCATTCTGTGGGTTTGACATGATGGCATCCTTGAATTACTGCATTTAAAAGTCAAGACTAAACAAATCTTAAAATATATCTTTAGAACTACTGGTTAAGATGTGTTATTTCTACAGAAAGTATTTTTCAAATGAATGGTGATACTGTGCTTTCTATCTTGCTGGGAATAAATAAGTTACTTTAAAGGTAATTTTTAAAGCACTAATAACTATTCGCGTATGAAATCTACTTGAGGCATTTTCAAACTCCTGAAATAATTTTGGTCTTCCAGGAATATAAGTATTAAGTTTAGAGACCTATGAAACCCGGGTTAATAGACCTTTTCAACTATTTATTTATTGCCTGCCTTGTTTCAAAAAGGATTTAAGGCAGTTCTCAAGGACATAAATAATGGACAGGTATTTTCTACTTTTTAACTGTTTAAAAGTGGAGACTTTTATTTTTTAAAGCCTCTGTTTGCTCATAATAATTATGAATTTTGAAACTTTAAGAGAGTTTAAAAATGTATTTAAATAATACATAAATCTATTTTCCAGAATTAACATTGCTTGGCAATGCTTTGAAGTGAGTTTTCTTTTATAAGTTTTTTATACAGAAATTTGTTTTTTATTATAAATATAATCCATTCTCAACATAAAGCAGGCATTTAGAAAATACCCCAAAAAATTGCTATTAAGGAAGAACACAAGTTTCACCATAAAAACATATACCCTTTATTAATGTATATTTGATTTTTTTTCTCTGTCCCATTTTTGTTACTTTGTTTTTTGTAATTCCTTATTCTGATTGTCCAAATTTGTTCTGTTTGTTTTTTTTTCTCTCGTTGCAGTGTTGACTACATTTTAAATGTCACTAGAGAAATAGATAATTTTTTCCCTGGCTTATTTGCATATCATAACATCCGAGTCTACGATGAAGAGACAACAGACCTCCTTGCCCACTGGAACGAAGCGTACCATTTTATAAACAAAGCAAAGTAAGTGGGTGGAGAAGCCAAAGAAATCGGTCTGAGGAAGAAACTGGCAGATGCTGGGTGGGCAGAAATTAATGACAATCCCAGACACAGATGTCTGCTGGCTTAGGGAGCCTAGATGTCTGATGGGCCTCTGATTTTCGACCGCAGGACCCTTAGCACCAAAGGGGCAAAGTTGTTGCTCTCTACGTGGGGACCCACATGAGCTTGTTCTCTCCCACCTATCACTGATTGTGACATTTGACCCCAGTTTCATCATTGGCACTGGTTCCAGGCAAGGGTCTAACACCAAGTGGACACTTTTTTTTTTTTTTTTTTAAGATTTTTATTGGGGAATTGGTGAGGGGAACCGTGTTGGGGAATTGGGGAAGGGGAACAGTGTGTTCTTCCAGGACCCATCAGCTCCAAGTCAAGTTGTCGTCCTTCAGTCTTAGTTGTGGAGGGCGCAAGCTCAGCTCCAAGTCCAGTCTCTACTTTTCAATCTAGTTGCTTGGGGAGGAGGGGTGTCTAGTTCCATGTGGGAGTCAAACCAGCAACCCTGTTGCTCAGAGCTCGCGCTCTAACCAACTGAGCCACTCGGCCGGCCCCCCCGCAAGTGGACCCTCTAGGAAGCTCTGCCCGTGGGGAGTCACTGAGCCAAAGGAGAAAGGAGGGCGGACCAGGTCATACAGATTTAGAACACCTTTGGGATGCTTCCCCCGCAGAATCTACTCAGGCAGGTACCCTGAGCTATGGCCTGCCTGCTCCACCTGAGTTAGTGTGATTTTCCTGTTTGAGCAGAATGGGACAGACCGCGAGAGGTCCCCACTGTCCCGAGCCCGTCACTGGTTTCACCCAGCTTTTGTTCTCACCGTATTCTCCTGCAGAACAACTGTCTTACTGAAGTCAGGAGCAGAAAGAGATAACCCTTTGAGATCTCATCTTCTGCTCTGCACCTCTCCAGGTCAAAGCTACGTAACGTGTCCTCACCAGCGTGTCCTCAAACTTCACTCACTTGCATTCCTGGGGTATAGACTCCAAACTGGCAGTCCAGGAAAGAGGGCACTGAGATTTGGTGATGGATTGGGAACCTGAGGTGCAGGAAACGAGCCTGCTCGCACCTGACAGGCTGACTGCTTCTGACATAAACAAGCAGGCTGGTAGGCTCACCCCCCTTACAAATAAAGCTGCCCTTCCCAGCCTGGTTGCTCCCACACATTCTTGAGCCAACAATACCTCAAGAAAACCCTGTGCCTGATCTTGCCGTAGCTGTTAAAATCAGTCACGCCTGGGCCAGCATGGCCTCCTTAAAACCTACGGCCCCCTGGCTGCTTCCTGTCCTGGCCAAGTTAGGGTGCTGCTGCCCTTACTCTGCCTTCTGGACTCTTCTGTCTCCCGAGGACCTTGCAGCTTTGGGTTCACTGACCCCATTTTTCTACAACAACCCGTTGCATGTCTCTATCTGCTCTAGCAGCTGGGTAGCTTTTGCATATCTCCCTTTCTCTGTCCAGTTGCTTCCTGCAAAAGGCTTTCTTAGTCTGAGACATGCTCAGCAGCAGGAAGAATTCCTAGCCTGTCCCAGCGATGTGGGACGATCCCCAATTTGTCTCCGAAGGCAGCCGATTTTGGAGCCCTCCCTGCAAAACTTGGCTAAGCAGGGACAGATTTATCTCCTTTTCCCATTGTGTGCTAATTGATTTCGCAGTGAAGTTATTTCCTTTAGAGAGTGTGTGGACCTCGGCTGGGTAAACATCAGGACTTAGGAGGACTGGGGCTATGAGATAACTTCAGGGTTTAAAACAATCGGTTGAGTAAAACCTGAGAGAACGAAGTTGTTTAAGTTTTTTAAAAACTCTCTCCCTCACCAACCACCCTGGCCCCTGCAGGAGGAACCATTCCAAGTGCCTGGTACACTGCAAAATGGGCGTCAGCCGGTCTGCCTCCACAGTCATAGCCTACGCCATGAAGGAATTCGGCTGGCCCCTGGAAAAGGCGTACAACTACGTGAGGCAGAAGCGCAGCATCGCGCGCCCCAATGCGGGCTTCATGAGGCAGTTGTCTGAGTATGAAGGCATCTTGGATGCGAGGTGGGTAACTAACTGTCTGCAGAGGGTTGGCAGGACGGAGCTCGAGAAGCCGCCATCCGCATCCGAGCGGTGGCTTCCACAGCCAAAATCCTGCCTCTCAGGGGGAGCCAGTTTGAGAAAAACAACTATTGTTTGGGGTTTGATGCGTGGTTTCCAGGAGGCATCTGTTCTGGTTTTCGTTGGCGCACCCAGCTCTTGTGCTGCAGGAGAGAACGGTGGAGCCTGACTCCTCAGCTAAGGCACGGCTTCGTGTGCGGTGTGGGCACGTGGGTGCCCATTTCCTGGTCATCTGCTTTGGGCCGAGTGCTGCGCCAGGCTTGGCCGCAGGGTAATTCTAAGGACTGCAGAGGCAGACTGGGTCTCCTGCCCCCCACACATACTGATAGGTGGGACAACTTAGGGCCAGTTTGTCGATCTCCCCCAGCCTCAGTTTCCTCTTTCTGAGCTAAGAATTAACACCCACCTGGTCGGGTTGTTGTGAGATTTACCCGAGTACTGTACAGACTTACCTTTACAGAGACTTGGCCAGACCTGGCTCATGGTAAATGGTAATGTAGCGTCTTTCTAAGTCTCTAACCGTCGCCCCACCCCCGCCTCCCGACCCCTCAGAAAAGGACTACAAAGTACAGGTTATCCCCCGTGTATAGGGAAATAAGGAACTGACGCTGAAGGTTAACTTGTCCCACATCACACAGCCAGTGCACAGCAGAAAGGAACACGTACCCAGGTCTGTCAGCCTCCAAGGCACAGAGGCCCCGAGGTTCTTCTGCGCCCACAGAGGGGTCCCAGAGCCCACGTCGCCCCAGGAGGTCCCCTGCTGAACTCTGGGGCTCACTTTCTCCCTGCTCCCTTTCTATTCAGTCTATAGGAGGCCTCCCCCAGGAAGGACTGGTGTTGTGAGGGGGGCCGCAGGCTAAGCCTTGGCCTCTTGACCATGTTTGGGGTAGCAGAAGGGCCCTAGCAGGGAGGAAGAGGGTCCGGAGCACGGCTCCGGATGTGTCCACTATCAACTGAAGAGCAGCTGCACAGATCCCCAGGCAGGACCGAGGAGGGTGGGGGTGGGGGACAGTGTGCATCCTGCTCTCCTCTCCATTAGCCCTTGAGTCACAGGCTCCCATCAGTGCCCTGTGCAGCCTAACCAGGGGCTTCCAGGCCGGGTTCGCAGCAGCACGGCATTGACCTTGAATTGCAGCCCCATCCAAGGGCCCCCTTGGCCTCACTTAGAATGTGCACATGGAGCAGTCACAGTGAGCATGACACTCTTGCACTGAACAACAGCAGATGCTTAATTTCCTTTTTTTCCCCCTCTCACCTTAACCCTCGTGACCCCATGAGATTGGTATTGCTCTGATGTTCATGGAGGTGACTTCTTTACCTTATTTCACTATAAGCCTTTCTCTTTTACTTTTATGCTTTAAAAATAACACCAAAGTATTAAAAGACATGTTAAAAACTGACCTGTAATCTCTGACCTAAACAAATATTTCCAGTTTTCTGGTATCTTCCCAACTTTATTCATGTGTATTACGTGTTTACATAGCTACGTTAGTGTAAATATACATGTATATACATATATATATATATACATATATATATATACATACATATATATGTGTATATATATATATATATAAATTTGTATAAATCTTTACATACTCTCTGCTTGGAGCCTTATTATTTCCCTACTATGTAGGTAGATGAGGATTATTCTTACTTGACAGATGCAGAAACTGAGAGATGGAACATTACGTGGCATCACTATGTTCATCACATGAGATGGGACACCAGGATCGTGATAGCATTTCAGATCTAGACTCCCTTCACATATCCGCCACATCGTTAGCATGACAGAAAGTCACTTAAGGCTTCGTGTGCAAGCCGTGATGACTTAGGGTCCTGGTGCCGTTTCTTTCATCCTTGCATTTCTTGGAGACGAATGAACAGAGAGGCGCTTTCCGTCAGTGAGCCCCTGGCGCCCACCCCAGCCTGGTGCTGTCCCTTGCTGGCTCACCCTCACCCTTCCCAGGACCCTCTGGGCACTGGCCTCTGCTGACCTCTCTCTGCCCTTCCTCCCCCAGCAAACAAAGGCACAACAAGCTGTGGCGCCAGCAGACCGAGAGCGGCCTCCAGCAGCCTGTGGATGACCCTGCGGGGCCTGGGGACTTCTTACCAGAGACCCTGGATGGCGCCCCCCCGGAAGCCCCGCTGCCCTGCTTGGAGGATGCTACCCAGCCTGGGTTTCCAGGCAGCAGGGCCCCCGGAGGACCTGTTATCCCTTGCTGTTTCCGGCGGCTCTCAGACCCCCTGCTGCATTCCTCCAGTGACGAAACTGGCAGTTTGGTCCAGCTTGAGGATCTGGAGAAGGATGCCCTGTTGGAGGAGGCGGCTCAGCCAGCCAGACCTCCCCAGGAAGGCCCTGGACTCTGTGAGAAGGAGGTGAAGAAGAAACGCGAGTCTGGGAGCCTGAAAACCCGGAGTGGCCCCTTGCCACAGGTGGAGGAGATGGAAAGGGAGGAGGTGCCAGGAGCTGGGAGGTGGGGGAAGCCCCCAACCCAGCTTGATAAAAACCTGCTCAACCGGGAAAACCTGAATAATAACAACAGCAAGAGGAGCTGTCCGGATGACTTTGAGGTAAGCATGGGACCAGCGTGTGGGGACAGAGGGCCACATCACTTCCATCCTGCCCTGCAGAGCAGCCCCCTCACAGCCACCTCTGCTGCTCTGCCAGCTGGTCAGTTCTCATCCCCAGCGACCTGTGGGCTTATTTCAGAAAGCGATTCTGCAGGCCGATTGGGAATGTAGACGTATAGGGGATCAGGGATCTACAGGGGGCATCACGAATCCCTGTGTGCCCCCTTCACCCCACACACCTCGTTCAGGGCTTGGGCGGGGCTTCCAACTCTTTTTTCCCCCTCTTATGTAAAAGGTAAAGCGTATACCTTATCACCCAGTTTCACCATTTCTCAGTATGCGGCTGTTCTGAGTTCATCGCACCCTTACTCACTTGCCCACACCCTGGATTATTTTGAAAAAAATCCCAGGTATGTTGTTTCATTCATAAATGCTTCAGCGTGTAACATAACCACAATACCATTGCCACCTTTAGGAAATTGATAGTAATTCCCCAGCATCATCAAATAACTGGATTTGAACTCAGATTCTAACGTTTAACTCCATCAGTCCCTTGTAGTTGTCATTTTTATGAGTTATCTGCAACAGTGTCAGCCTCATCCTGGCATGTGCTCAGAAAACTGTGAATTCCTCCAGCCTTTTCCCTCCTCCAAGGGGCCCAGGAACAGAGGCTGGTTTCCTGGAGAGCATACTGTGCTGCCTGTCCTTGGTTCCCGCCCTCGCTCTGTGCTCGCTCACTACAGCCAGATCTAGCAGCTTCATTTCCCCCGGCTTCACTGCCCCTCTCCCGGGATGGCTGTGATGCTCTAATGAGAGCACTCGGAAATCTGGCAGACGCAACCGATCTGCAGAGGGTCCGTCATTATCCTATTATAATGCAAGCAAAACTGGGAAGTTACATCTACTGACCTCCAAATCATAAAACATATTGCAAACCAAGTATTAATTACTCATGAATTTCCTCCACCCCACCCACCCTTCCCTCAAATAGCAGATACTGTAAAGACATGATGTACAGCCTCTTGGTCCAGCATAGGGGTGCCTTCATCCGAAATGGGATAGCCGGGAGTCGTAGAATAGTGATCACGAGAGAAGCTTGGATCAGAGGGTAAATGAAGGACAGCCCTACTTTCCTGGCCAGAATTTTGTTGCGTGGGTGATGTTACCTAGGAAATAGGACCTAGAGATACTCATGCATTCATTTGTTCAACTAGTGTATTAACTACAGTGCCAGGTTGATAAAGGGGTACAGCTGTGAGTAAGACAGCTAGTGCACATAGCTTAAGGGGAGATGGATGGCAAACACGTAAGGATATAACAAAGCAAATGGAGGTGGTACTCAGTGTGATGACACAGATAAACCGTGGCATGGTGGAGAGTAACTCGGGAGGAGGGGATGAGAAGGAGCCGGCCATGCAGAGAGCCAAGAGGATAGTCTTCGGGCCCAAGGAGCGCCAGGGGCCAGGGTGCTCCCTGAGGGTGGAGAGCTATGTATGGTTGAGGGGCAGTTGTCTGAGGTGCAGTTGGACAGGTGGCCGGGGCATGTGGGGCCCCCTGGCATGATGGCAGGTCTCTGCGCGTTGTTCCAGGGGACTGGGAAGCCATGCGAGAGCTTTGAGCCTGGAGGTGATGCAGCTCCTCAGCCGTGGTCTGCAGTCAGGCTGATGGGTGAGAGTGGAAGCAGGAACCTGAGATGATGGTGGCTCAGAGGACGGGCCGAGGACAGAAATGCACAGCTCAGGGGGCTCCGCGGCTGAGCTGTCAGTGCCTCTGGGAAGCCTTCCGTCTGTGGGAGACTTTGAGCTCATCCCTCTGTGCTGGCACTTTTCACGTGGTGTTCTGGTCTGTTTCCACCAGTGGACAGACAGTAGGCCCGCTGAGGACAGGGACTGTGTCTTGTTCCCGCCGTTGCACCTAATGTAGGTCCTGGCATGGGACAGACAGGTGCTCTCTAAATATGAGCTGGATGAATGACTTCTCGGCCCCTCACCCCCCAGGGCTCTGCAGGGTGCTCAAATCTCCCGTTGTAGATTTCACCACATTTTAGCACATTAGGCTCTAAAGAGTTTGGAAGAGGGAAACAGGTAGACTAAGTTTGGTTAGAGCTTAAAAAAAATTCCTGGGTCGCGTTCAGGCCTTACTGTGAGGGTGACCAGGTCTACCTGGGCTACCTGGAAATCAGCTAAGATAGGATTCCACAGGAGATGCAGCCTCCCACCTCCCCCACCACACACTCCCCTGCAGCCTCCAGGAACCGTGGCTGAGTTTCCATCTGATTCCTCCAGTATCGGACCTGCCCAGGACTTCTTACCTTGGGGGGCCTCAGTCTGCCATACTGGATGGTAGTAATCTCTGACAATCAGGGCGTGGGGGGCGTGGGGAGGGGGGGCGTGGCGAGGACCGTGGGCAGGCTTCACTTGGCAGGAGAAACCTACAGCATCTGCTCTTTGTTTTGGACCAGCTTAGGAATCGCATAGCTAAACGACTCTCGAGGAGAGAGGGTCGGCTTGCCCAGTCTCCACATTCGCTGTTCTCAGCTCGGCCTCAGCCCAGACGAGCAGCCTGGTGCCTGTTGATGGGCACAGGAGGGAGGCAAACGGGGGTGTAGAGGCCCATGTGGAGCTCACTTAGCCCAGAGGTGGGTGGTTTTCCTTGGAAAACAAGGCCAGCATGTTTTCCATGGGTGTGTGAAGCCCACCGCAGCCTGGCTTCCTCATCGGGGCTGTGGGCACCTGTGTTTGGGTCTGTAGTAGAGCCTTTCCAAAACCGGTTTTGCCCCTTCCTACCTCTCTGTGAAGAGCACAGCTAAATGATGGTTCCATTGCTGGGTTCATGCTGGAAGGGACAAGTTCCATTGTCCGGCCACAGACTCCCCAAATGCAGATTCTTTCTGGAAGGGAAGAGAGGGAGACGCACTTACCGTATGAGAAACGTTATTCCATTTAATTCTCAGTGCCACGAGGGTGCAGTCTCCAGATGAGACCGCGGCTCAGAAAAGGCTTGTTTGGTGCAGGTAGCGGAGGCGGGGTGAGAAGGGAGGCCCCGAAGCCCGGCTAACTGCGCAGCTGACGGTTTGCCCAGGCTCGTGGGCACGCAGCCTCTAGAAATTGGTTCAGTGTCTCTAACTGAGCTCTAACCTACATCAGTCACAGTCGAGTGGGTTCTGAGAGGTCTGTGTTCCTGCACTCTGGGAAGTGAGCATGCTGCCCCCCC